GATATTTCATTTATGGCAGTATTTGAAATTTTTTTTCATATAAAGTTTAAGAAAATTAGCTGAGGCGAAAAAAACGAACCCTACACATTGACACAGACATGGTGATGTTACAGTGGTAGCAGAAAACTACCTGAAGTCTTCGCGGCCCTGGCCGGGCTCAAGTCTTGCTTCTGTCTGGTTAGGCTGTGATCTGGGTGGATGAGGGCTTCGGAGCATTTCTTGTTTCATCTTAGACCATCTGCTATTGTCTCCAGAATTTGCTCAGATCTACTCCTGAGTAGTAGCTTGAGATAAGACATTAATTAACATCTGGAAAATGAGTGAACTATACACATACAAGCAAAAATTTTTTAAAAAAGATTTTATTTAATTGATGGAGAGAGAGAGAGAGAGAGCTCAAGCGGGGGGCAGGGGGGTATGCAGGTAGAGACAGAAGCGGCTCCCCGCTGATCAAGGAGTCTGATGTGAGGCTTGATCCCAGGACCCTGGAATCATGAGTTGAGCTGAAGGCAGAGAGTTAACCAACTGAGCCACCCAGGCAGCCCACACACAAAAATTTTTTATGCCAGTTTTTTAATCTTTTTATGACAAAAATTATTAAAAAAGTGAAATAATCAAGCAGATATCATAAGATAATGTACTAACTGTGTATCAATAAACCAAAATCTAAGTGAATGGATATTTTCTAGGAAATTATTAAACAAAAAATTATGAAAGAATTAAGCTGAAAAGAGTATTTGAAAAAATTCTACATTAAAAATATCTTTCTTTGGCGCCTGGGTGGCTCAGTGGGTTAAAGCCTCTGCCTTCGGCTCAGGTCATGATCTCAGGGTTCTGGGATCGAGCCCTGCATCGGGCTCTTTGCTCAGCAGGGAGCCTGCTTCCTCCTCTCTCTCTGCCTACTTGTCATTTCTGTCTGTCAAATAAATAAAATCTTTAAAAAAATATATATATCTTTCTTGAAAAAGTATCAGGCCCAGTTTTCCTGGAGTTCTAACCAAGGGTTCAATGAGCCAATAATGCTAGTATTATTTAGGATTCAGAAAAAAATGGAAGCATTTCCAAAGTATTCTGCCAGAATAGTCTAACTCTGATACCAAACCAGGTAAAGCACACAAAAACCAAACATAAATAGAGTAAACCTGCCAAGTGAAATCCAATAGTGGACTAAAATAATACATTATAATAAAGTAGGATTTAATGATAAATTCCCATATGGTTGAATAATTTGAAAAATTTTTTTAAAAGATTTTTATTTATTGATTGATTTATTTAACAGACAGAGATCACAAGTAGGCAGAGAGGCAGGCAGAGAGAGAGGAAGGGAAGCAGGCTCCCTGCTAAGCAGAGAGCCTGATGCAGGGCTCGATCCCAGAATCCTGGGATCATGACCTGAGCCAAAGGCAGAGGCTTTAATCCACTGAGCCACCTAGGCACCCCAAATAATTTGAAATTTTAAAAGTAATTTAGTACTTTATTAAATAAGGACAAAAAAACCTCTAGGATAAAGTACATCTCTAATTTTAAAGGCAAGCTCTAATATTTAATAGAAATGCTTCTAACTTATCATTGCAAAATAAAAAGCAAGGAATAAGTGCCATTAGCATAACATTCCTGGCAGCTCTAACCAATATAATAGGAAAAGAATAAGAATTAAAAGTCACACATACTGGCAAAGAGAAAAACTCTTACATGGATGTCATGACTACCCATTTAGAAAAACTAAGTGAATCAGTTAATAATAGGACTATTAAAAAGAGTTCAGTGAGGTGACTGGATGTAAGAAAGTAAAAGCATTCTTACATGCAAACAATAGCCCCCTGGGGAAAGTAACAACAAAAAGATTCGCATTCAAAATCAAACAGTAAGGGGTGTCTGGGTGGCTCAGTGGGTTAAAGCCTCTGCCTTCAGCTCAGGTCATGATCCCAGCGTCCTGGGATCAAGTCCCACTTCGGCCTCTCAGCTTAGCAGGGAGCCTGCTTCCTCCTCCCTCTCTGCCTGCCTCTCTGCTTACTTGTGATCTCTGTCAAATAAATAAAATCTTAAAAAAAAAAAAAATCAAGTAGTAAGTGTGAAATACCAAGCAATAGACTTGACAAAAATATGCAAGATTTATACAACTAAAATGAAGGCTTTACAGAAAGACACAGAATATCAGAAAGGGACATACATTTTAAGTCTTTGGATAGAAAGATTCAATACTGTGATGACTTCATTCTTCCTCAAGTGAAAATTTAAAATCCTAAAGATTTTAAATACAGAACTAACAAATTCAAGCTCATCTGAAAAAGTAAAAAATGCTCAGGAAGAGCCAAGAAATATCTGAGACTAATGATGGGGTATTTGCAACTATTAACATGTACAATGAAAACTACAGTATTCAAAACATACGGCACAGAAATAGACAAATGATTGATGGAAAAAAAGAATTCCAGACACAGAATTACACACACACATACACACATAGAGGTTAGATTTCAAATTAATGGAGAAAATTTAGTTCATTTACTAGAAAATGGTAAAAAAATTAGATGTCTAAAAACACATGAACTTGAGTAATAAATATATACTAAAGACTGTTCATTCCTCACGAGTAACCAGGACATGCCAATTAAGATAACCTTATTGTTTGTAGAAATGAAAACTTGCCATGTTTTTGAGTCTGAGGAAAAGCAGCCCCTTTCAATGCACAGTTGGTGAGAATATAGTTTTCTAGGACAACTTGACCAAATATAAAAATAAGCATAACTTTTAACCTTAAAATTTCACTTCTAGAATCCTACCCTATTTAGAAATATACCTGGCAGTACCCTTTGCAGTTGCAAAAACTGGGAATCAATTTCAAAGTTCATAGTAGCGTAATGGTTAAAGAAACTCTCAGATCGGAACTATGTGATGATTAAAAATGGTAAGTGCAAATGTATATGTGTTTATGTGGAAAATTTGTAAGGCATATTAAATGACAAAGGCAGGTGTCAAAATAATATAACCATCCCACCACACTGTGTGTGTGCAAGCATTTATTAGATAGGGAAATGTCTTGAAGCACACATATCGAGGTGCTGACGATGGTTGCCTTTGGGAAGTGGAATGGAAATGTGGGAGGGAAGGTGGAGAGGAAGTGCTCCAGACAGAAGGTGAGGGTAGGGGGTGTCACTATCAGAGTTTTTAACTTTGTGTTGAAATTGACAATACTCATGCTTTACAAATATGTCTTTTAAGAATTTTTGAAATTTAACAAAAGAAAAAAGAGAGCTGGATTAGAGTAAGAGCTACTAGCTTCCTCACTTTTCTTATCTGAAGCAGCTCCAGCAGCTTCACTTTTAAAGTGAAAGTTTAAATTGTAAAGTTTCAAGAGACAGAAGTTAGCATTGCTTCTCCATTCTCCAACGAAGTTGTTTTTATTTAAGTTATTCTTTCTAGTACTTACTGAAATTTCCCCCAATTTATTTCAATTCCCCCAGCTTCATCCCAGGCCAAATTATGTTTTAGTATTTAACATGCTCGCATATAAAATATAAAGCTCCCAGATCCCTGATAGCCAGAGTCCTATGTCCCTGTCTTTTTACCTACTTGTAAAATTAACTGAACGCACTTTTTCAGATGAATAATTAGGCAACACACATTCTTCCTTTCATTGCCATTTTAATAGAAAAAGAATATAAATCCCATGTTACAAAATATATTTCATATTGTTTTTGTAATGGAAATTAAAAAAAACCACTAACTTTATAAAATAACAGGATGCTAAAAAGCAAATTCCAGATGGAACAAAGACACAAAAAAAGTAAAATTCTAGAAAAAAGCTTAGACAAATGTATTTGTATTCTGGGAATGGAAAAGATCTTTCAAAAAACCATAAACCCAGACTGATTGGTAAGTCTGACTATATAAAAGTCTGACTACATAAAAAATTATGTATGGCAAATAAAAAAAAGTCATAAAACAAGCAAAAGCCAATAACAAACTGGAAAAACATATTTGCAACACCTACTGAAGACAAAGGGCTCTTTAATTTATGAAGAATTCATGCGTCTTAATAAAAACATAATAATCCAAAAGAAAAATAAATGATAGGAACAGTCAGTTTAAAAGGGGAAAACTATTATAAGACCAAAATATATGAAAAAAAGCTCAAATCTCATTCATAATTAAGGAATACATACAAACAATAAGATACCATTTTTCTCACATATAAGATAATAAAATTAAAATGCCTGATGCCCACAATAGTTGAGAGTTGTAAAAAATTGAAAACAGCCCAAGTGTCCATCAGCAGGGGACTGGTTAAATTAACTACAGTGTATTCCATCTTCCATGAGAAGGTATGAGGTAGATCTCTATGTATATAAGGACATGGAAAGGTCTTCAAGATATATTCGTAAAACAGTATCATATTTTTAAAAAAGTACATAGTTTAAAAAAAAAGACCAAGTTAAAAAAAAAAGGAAGGAGTATTGAATAGTGTATCAACAAGAGGGGAAAAAAGTATATTAAAGTATACTGCAATTCCTTTTCTGTCTTCCAAAGGAATTATAAAATACTGCTGGCTATAGTTATCTTTAGATAAATGAATAAAGGGTAGGGCCAAGGGGTGGGAGAGTTTTATTTTTTATTTTGTACCCTTCTGTACTGTTTCTGCTTCTACCCTTAAGGGTTTAACATTATTTTAGCAGGGATCAAATGGGCAGATAGACTATGGCTCGTTCATTGTTTTCTAATATCTCTATGTTAGAAAAAAAAGTTATGTTTTTTACACATACTTACAAAGATGTTAAACCAAAACACATGCAATTATGAAAAAAAAAAAAAACAAAAAAAAAAACAACCCAGACACATACACATACATATATATACACACTTCTGACAGTAAGCACAGGGAAAACCCACCTTTTCCATTTCAGATACTTACTATCCTAATGTATAATGTACAGAGTTAAAATTATCCAAAAAAGTCAAAGTACTTCATTAATATTCCTTAATCTACTGTAAGTTTCCACTTCATATGGTGATATAAGATCATGGGTACAAAATATTAGTGAATACAGAAAGAAATCCCAAGGGTCTCATCTGAATAATGTTCTGACCACACATGAACTTTCTGTTCTTGTACCCCCTCACAGTTACGATTCAGAGGCTGATCTTCGAATCAGGTCCCCAAAATAAGCAGTGATTGTCTTCAACTTATTGTTAAGAAAGTTTTGTTCTATTTCCACTTGCCCTCCAGGCCCAGCTAAGGATGCCACCTAAAAAAAGGAATGGAAGAAAGTCACACATAACATAACCACAATTGCAAAATAAGTATTTTATTTATATGCTTTATCAAATAACAGGACCCTGGCCTTTCATTTAAGTTTTTCAAGTAATGAGGCATCTCAAATGTTCACTGTTACTTTCTAGGCAAGCATCAATGCAATATTTGGTGGCAGAAATAACTTGTTTCAAGCACTTTGATAATATGGGTAAGGCCATCGTGCTGTTATTTGTGCAGGACCTAAGCTCTCCAATGCCAGAAGCTAAAGAACTCAGAGGAAAAGAAAATGAATATAGCCTTCCCAAATATCAGTTTTATTTATTAAGATAGAAACTTAAATAATAACTCTCTTCTCTGAAAACTTTTGTCCTCTTCACCTTACCATCTTACTCATTCAATAATATTATTTACTGAGTACCTGCGGCAGTACAGGTACATCAAAGAGCAAGACAGACATGAGCCCTTGATCTTGTACTTTTTCCTTCTCTAATTGGTGTCTTGTGTTGCTGTCCCAACCAGAACCACTTCCTCCATCTGCTGCTCCTGTGTATTTTTCAGTCCCCCTACTTTTTGAGGTGTACTAGAATACAGTGACCAAACTATTCTTTTCTTTTTTTTTTTTTTTAAAGATTTATTTATTTGTTTTGGAGAAAGAGGGAGAGAGGAGGGGAGGGGCAGACAGCTTAGCAGAGAGCCCAACGCAGGGCTCGATCACTTGACCCTGAGATCATGACCTGAGCAGAATCAGAAGCTTAACCAACTGCACCACCCACGCACCCCAACCAACCTTTTGATTAGGAAGCTAAAAGCATCACCTCCTTTCCACCTTCACAGAGTTAACATCAAAAGGATGCTTCAAGGGTCCTGGGTGGCTTAGTTGGTTAACCATCTATCTGCCTTCAGCTCAGATCATGATCCCAAGGTCCTGGGATCCAGTCCCACATCAGGCAGGCTCCTTGTTTAAGGAGCCTTAAACAAGGCTCTGCCTGCCGCTCCCCCTGCTTGTGTGCTCTTTGTGTCAAACAAATAAATAAATAAAACCTTTAAAAAAAAAAAGACACTTCAAACTAGCAATGCTTTAAGTTCTTATGCAGAAAAAGTTTTGTTTTTGTCCAACAGTTTTCATGCAGTCTCAGGTCTATTAACTAGGATTATACAACCAGAGATGAGCTTCATCATGGTAGCAGTGAGAACGGTTATGGAGAAGGGCATTGCATCAGGAAAGCCCCGTGAGTCTGATAACCAAAGACACATAGTGATGGAAAAGGGATACCCAAAATGTCAGAGGTAGGTTCCAACAAAGGGAGACATGTAGTTTCTTTTTTCTTTTTGAGAGAGAGAGCGAGCTAGCAGGAGCTCAGGGGAGGGGGAAAAGGAAAAAAAGAATCTTAAACAGGCTCCATAGGGCTAGATCTCATGACCTTGAGATGAAATCAAGAGTAGGATGCTTTACCAACTGAGCCACCCAGGAGGCCAAGACATAGTTTCTGTAATTCATCCTGTGATCATAATTGGCAAAACTGTGTATTTTACAAAGAGATGTGCTGTTGATTTAATTTTAGAGGTTGAGTGATCTAATCTCAGTGGTATTACACATGCTACACCAGCATCTGGCTGAAGGGAAGAGTTACTGTGCATCACCAATGAGTATGTATTTTAAAGCATTTCAACTTCCTCTTAGAAGAAAGTCACAGATACAGAAATAGGGAAGAAACCACAGGTCATTCTAAAAGAAGCTGTCCCACTAAACTAGTAGCAATGTCAATAGCAACCCCTATCTGTAAAAGGGACACAAAGACATGGCTGTGTTTTTAGCAACAGGAAAAGCTGACAACTGGAGCCAAACACAGTATCTGTCATAATGATAAAAAGGACACATGTATCTACTATTCACTACTAAGGAATAAACTGAAGTAAAACTTTAGATATTAAAAGTATCCAACTAGTCGCAGACTGGCAATAATAGGAATAGTTTTATTTCTATTTTGGTATCTTTATGCCAGTCTGATTTTTTTTTTCTTTTTTAAGTAGGCTCCACACCCAGTGGGGCTTGAACTCATGACCCTGAGACCAAGAGTCACACGCTCCACTGCCTGAGCCAGCCAGGTGCCCCTGCCAGTCTGGTTTTTCATAAGGAAGGGTAAAATGAAAAATTTTGTCTTTAACCAATAGAAGGCATTCTAAGTGGTACATCTAAAATATAATTATTTCACATTAATTTTTCCAGGAGTTAGATATAACTCAGGTGTATTATTTCTCCTGTTCCTTTAAATAGTGATTTACTTAGAGGAAGTGACAATGGCAGCAAAAGCTGAAATTTTCTCTGGGGGAGCAGTAATGGTTGGGGAGGAGAAAGGAGGAGAAGGGAGGAGAGAAGAGCACAGGTGAAGAGAACCAGAGCAGAGCTGAAACCCTAGCACACATATGCTAGAACAGATCTAGCAGACAACCAAAAGCAAAGTCAGAGGCAAATTTTAATACCAGTTCGACCATCAATATAGAAATTGGTTCCTGAAAAATAGGAATACTACCTATCTCCCTAAGTAGTGTATTTTTCAGCCATAAATAGAATTACATTAAAACAAATATCTGAGGTGGGGTACTTTCTTTTTCCTTTCTCCCCACTTTTCAGAGGGCTACCTGGACTTGGGTGCTTTGGACAGAGAAAGGAGTGGAGATGTCCTCAACATGAGGGGATTTTCCCAGGTCTGCTGCAAAAGTTAATGAATTATTTATTATTTTATTCAACAACTATTTACTGAGCGCTTAGAGGTTTTTGTCCCAGGCAGTGGAGTGCAACAAAAACAAAATAATCTCTGCCTTCCTGAAGGCTGGGAGAGTCAGGTGATAGACAAAACAAGTGTGCACCATTCGTGATATTGGAGGAAAAGATGACTCTATGTCGAAATACAATGAGAAAAATTGTTTCTATTCAGTGTTTAGAGAGAAAATTAAGAAAAAAACTCAATATGTTACTTTCACATATTCTAATTAAAAACAATTTCTAACTCTAAAGGTTAGCATTCTGGAGTTGAAAAGACTACAAAAATTATGTAGTTCAAATCAATGTTTTGCTTCAATCAAATTTAATGCCATTAACTTCCAGCTGTATTTTTCACTAGCAGGTTTAACTGGAAATATATTATTTGATTCCTTCCCCTTTCTTAAAGTTTAATAAATTGAGAGAGAGGAGGAGAAAAGGAGGGGGTGAAACAGAGGGGAGGGAGAGAAAAGCATAGGTAGGTAAATAGATAAAAGTTAACAACGGCTCTAGATTATATGCTATGTTTTTGGCATATTACCCAAGTATACTAATTAGATTTACCAAAAGAAGTCCCAATTATTTTGGATTGGAATTAGAACTAAGGCTGGAACTCCCATCAACTAGATTTTATAATAGTTGTTCCTTGGGGATTGGGAAAGGAGAAATGGGTAAAGATTAAAGGTGATAATTTTAGTAAAAATGAACGATTTAAGATCAAAGAGTTAAGAGCCAACTAAACATTTAAAAGTGCATTTTCTTCTTTCTTTTTAAAAGTAAACTCTACACCCAATGTGGGGCTTGAACTCACGACTGACGCCAAGAGTCGCATGTTTTACTAAGCAAGCCAGGCACCCCTGCATTTTTTTTTTTTTTTTAAAAGCAAACTGATTTGAAGTGAAAGTGTATGAGAGCTGAACAAATGAGAGACAGTAACCACCAAACTGGATCCTAATGGAAAAACATAATCAATATCAAGGACAGGAACATTTTAAGAAAGGTACAGAAAAATCAAGAGCACTGAAAAACAGTCTTATTACTACACTGGAGAAGTTTATATTTCCTTCACCCCTTTGGGTAAATTTTTTTTAGTAAATGATGTAGATAAATAGAAGGATACCACACAGACTGCTACAAACAAGTCCTGTGCTAACAGCTGGGGACTTCCTGATTCTCCGGTCTGCTGTGCTTCATGTAACTAGTTAAATTTAAGAAGTCTTCATCTTTCCAGATTCCAGCTCTGAGAATAGGTAAGAAGTAAAGCTTAGTGAACTGATTTTTGGTAGCCTTCTCCTAAGAGACTAATGCAGGTAAATTTTTAATGCCCAGGTTAATTTTTGACATATTCCCAATGTCCTCCGGTTGACTATGGTGGCTTTTAAAAATTGTATTTGTTTTAATCAACAAGTAAACATTTGAAAAAAGAAAGAAACAGGAAATAATATGTGAGAGCCTGAGGTAGCATGCAAGTTATCTGAAAAACTATTAGAAAAAATTAAGATTCATTCACTTTAGCATAAAAATCTCATTTGTTTACCATGTGCAGATAAACAGAACTAATCTTATAGAAATGTCTATAAAGAACAGTTAATTTCCTATCCAGGGAGATTTATACTCTGGACAGTATTTATATTTAGGGTAGCTAAACTGAGTGTGGGCCCAATACAGATATAGCTGTTGTCATGACGTCTGTCTGGGGGAAGTCACGGAAGGGTGCAGCATATCTACCATATAAATGCCAGGAGTTACACGATATAGGCCCACCTCCCAGTCCACTTTTCAACACTGTTCTTAGGGATGCTGCTCAGTGTGGCCCTGCTCTCTATACTGGTTTAAACAAATCATAAAGGAAAGAGCTTTAAGTTTGAAAAGCATAAATGCTATCACTTTCCTGAGGCAGGCATTTTAACAGGGAAGAATAAGGAGGTGCTATACCACACCAACCAGCAGCCACTCCTCCCCGCATTCCAATGTCTGCCTTGGAGACAGGGCTCCTCCTGGTTGGAGCTTCCACCCACAGGGACTTAATACAAACATTCCACTCTGCTCAGAGACCTCTATCCATACTGTGTATGTTTACTTTTTAAAACAGAAGTTTTCCATATTTGGAATGCCTGGGGTATCCAAAGCTGGTAATGACTGCAATTGTAGGACTGTCAAAGGAAACAAATGAAGAAAACAAAAAACAAAAAACACAGCAAGAAACAGGCATCCAGTAGATAAATACATAT